AATTCATTCCTAATTTACCAGCGTGAAAAAAAATAAAATCACACTACTACATTGTGTCTTCAATTATGAACATACCATGCAAATGGCATGATATGGACGTAGAACAAGCAAGCTAATTCCAGGAAAGACCATTTATCTGTGCTAACATTGATGTAAGTACATTCCCTGTTACAGGAAATCAACTTATAGATTCGGACTTTGTTGAGTGCATGTGATCGCCATAACTTTTGTCAGAGAGGAATGCATAGGACAGTTCACGTGATAACAAGGCACAATAGAATACACGTATTCCACATCAAATACACATACAACAACGAAAAGAAGAAGAGGGTTACGCTATTGTCACATTGGGACGTATGCAAAACGTAACAGATCAACATTCATTATGAAAGCTTAAATTTTTGTGAAATAGCCCATTGGGATATGTCCAAGGGGGGGATTTAGCTCTAACAAAGGAGGAAGAACAGGAAAATTGAATTTCCTGCTGTCAATGCTTTAGTCTTTCCCAGCACACCAATCTTGTTTGCAATTAATTTCTCTTTCAAAATGCAAATTGCCGAGGATCAACGCTTCTTTTTCACACAGCAGGGGGATTTGAAATATTCCTACTCTCATCCCAAGTGCTGATGAAACGGAAGAAAAAGCATGAATAAATTCACCTTACCTTTAATGAGCTTGGTGAACACGGAACAAATAGCAGCACCGGTACAGATCTCTTGTGTTCTCTCGTCATCCTATGAAAAAATACATAATGTAACACGTTTGCTACAACATCCGCGACCACAAGTGGACACAACATGTGCGGAGAACACTCTTGGGAATATGCAGTACAGCAAGGAAAAACAAGGCAAAAACAACTCCCAACCTTTTCTGCCATTGCTTATTGCTGTAGTCCTTTCTCTTTCGTTGTAGATGTGAGTAACTGGATACTGTTTTTCTTCTTTGCTTCATCCCACTAAACATGAAAGCAAAAGGAAGTCGGACATGTGCTTATACGTGGACTGCGATGAATTTCAATGCAACGTGGAAAAGTACTGACTATGTTGGGGGTGGATGTGGAAAAATGAGCCAAACGGAAATGCTGTTTCGGTAACGCACGCTTGGGCAGGGAAACTGTTGGGTAACGCCGGGGTTTTCTTTTAGTTGTGTTGTGATGAATAAAAGAGCTGGAAAAGTCACGCGGATGACGCGATAGTCATTACGTACAGAACGGTTCCCTACGCATCGCGATAACGTCAGATGTAAGGCTTTACAGCTGGAGAGGTCGCATATATGTATCTTATTTCCGGGAAGGAATGATTTCCTGGAATGCATGATTTCCAGGAATAAACATGACGTAAAATTATGCACAACTACAGCTGCAGGAGCTATCACACTGGAGACCTTCTCCATGAATAACATATGTCGTAGACATCTATTGTACATAACCATACACATTCCTTTGGATAGTCTGATGAATGTACAAGTCGGGATAGTACCAAAATGGCAACTGAAGAAGTACCCTATTGGTGGCGTAAATGTGTTTAGTGAGTTAACGCTGTTTTGGATGGACAGATGTCATTTTAGAGCAAATTAAAATCTACATTTGTACGGTATGTAGCCAATATAAGCTTCCTTGTATAATGTTGGATGGCAATCGTGGGGGTTCAAAAACAAATCATGTTTTAGATGCAACTATGGCTACATACCGTCACTTATACAATGATTGCACGGACTATTTGTTGAGGGAAACATGATTATGAGGTTACGTGAGACGATGTGCAACCAACCCTCTGAGCATCGGAAGAGAACTGGAGACGACACTATTAGTCTAACTTGTTCTTTCACTTTACCATTGAAACGTTGGATGAGTAATGCTGCAGTGGAGCATAAACAAGGCTCGGTGGTTTTGTAAGCTGAACTCAGACGCTTACTCAATTTGATCCTTGGTGGCATCAGTGTGCAATGTGTGTTTGTGTAACAGGAGGTGTAAGATACGTTATTCTTAAGTTAAGTTAAAATAAAGTTATATCGGAACAAAAGGCAAAACAACTCGAGTCAAATTTGACCTCAGAGGACACCCCCAACAATGCTGACCCACTCCTAAATAAGAACCAACCACTGGCCAACCACAGACGAACCTCCCGTCCACATCAGACTGTTTTACACATTTTGAAACATTCGGCAGGCGCAGCCGAACATTAGCCGACCTGGCCGAACACTAGCCGACCATGCTCCCGACCAACTCTTAACCATGGTTGGGGGGACTTCGGCTAGTGTTCGGGAGGCTATATTCGGCAATGTGTGACAGGGGCTTCAATGACAAAATATTTCATCTTCATCACTATATTCATTTATAACTAATACAAATTCTAGCTATGTGTAACTAATAATGTTTAATGATACCGATTGATAGCATGTTTTTGAATTTTAATGATAGCTTGTGATGACCACAGAGCGATTCAGGCATCCAGTAAGGTTGCCTGCGAGTCTGGTGTCAGTGTGTACTTAGTATAAATACATGTATGAGTTCTAAAATAAAATAAACCATTCGCACCATATGGTTGCCACGTAGTTCAGACAAAAGCCCAACCGCCGTTTGCTTACCGCCGGCACGTTTTACTGTGCGGAAATATTCTGTGGAGACTTCACTCGAGCACATCCCCCGGATAAACCTCTCGACAGCATGTTCATTAGTGCCTTAATGGAGCTCACTCACTACCCCTGTCAAGTCCAGGAATTAACTGATAGAGTACCGCGAGGAGTAGATAAAAGTTATAAACGACCTTCCAAAGGCAAAACGTCCATGAAGGGAAGTAAAAGAGTTCACAGATACTAGTTGATTAAGTGGATTTATGAAAATGAGGCCCAAAAGTGACTTTTAGATTAAATGTTCGTTGTGTTTGTCTGATGGACTATTTCTTTTTTTCCCTTGTTTTCTGGCGTTTTTTAGATAAAATGTGTGCTGTGTTATTCTAATGGACCATTACTTTTTTCCTTTTTTCTGTGGCAGTTTTTTTGGTGAAATGTGTGTTGTGTTATTCTAATGGACCATGTCTTTATCCGTTTACTTTTTTTTTACTGTTACAATCTAGACGGCATCAGCTGTAACGTCTTAAATGGCCTTTCCGATGGCGTCCGCATTACAAGTTACAATGCAAACAAATCCAGGTAGGGTTTATGACTGACAAAATATGACTGGGCGTTAGTCTTATCCAAACGTTATGCCACCTCTATTTATTCTAGATTCTAGAGAGCAAGAGAGAGAGGGAAGAGAGAGAGAGAGAGAGGAAAAAGGGGAGATGGAGAGAGAGAGGAAGAGAGGAGGGAAAGGGGAGATGGAGAGAGAGAGGGAAGAGTGAGAGAGGAGAAAGGGGAGAGAGAAAGAGACGAGAGAGGGAGAGAGAGAAAGAGAGGATAGAGCAAGGGGATAGAGAGAGAGATGAGATAGTGTAGAAGAGGTAGAGAGAGAGGGGGTTTGATAAAATGTATACAATATACTCCACTTCTCTTTCATCGTTGATATGTAACTTTTTTCTCCACATACTATTCGGACAGAGAGAGACAGATAGATAGAGAGAGAGAGAAGAGAAATAGCGATAAGACAGGAAGGTAGTGGAAATGTTTAGAGCATATTCTACTTAATATCTATCTTATTAGATGTGCAACTGCGACGTTTCAAAGTCAATATCTTGACGTACATTTAGTCATCATCATGTAGTGCCTGCTGTAGAGTATTTGAGAATGCCACTTTGAGAGCTGCACACTCGAGCCATTAAGTTTACAATGTTGTTTATTTCATTACATCTCCCTCAAACTCACTCAAGACGTTCTTTTACAGCATGAGCAAGGTGCAGACTCTCCACGGCAATTTCTTTAATAGTTGAGACGTTGGCGGACTTGAGAAGCCATCATTTGCAATTCGTGGTAAGGATCCCGGCAAGATACCTTCAATGATGATCTGAATATTTGTGGATGTGTTTCGAGAGGCTAACCATGTCCGCTATACTTGAAAGTAAAAGATTGCTCCAACTCCAAAGAACAGATGGCAATGACAGAATTTCAAATGAGAAGATAGAGAAGTATCTCAAGTATTTGTAGTATTTCTGTTGAATTCTAGTCAACAAAACATTATCCTCAGAAGCCCACATCATAACATATCAGTATACAGACCTTGTATACCCGTGTTTTTGTTGTTTTGTTTGCAATTAGCCTTCGGGCATGGTTTTTCAATAAAGTTATCATTATCAACAATTTCTCTCCGAATCGATTTAAATTTATCCTGGGAGTCATCCATTTTGTACCCGTTTTTGAGTTAGTGAGTGCACGAAGCCCCATTGCAAAACGGATTGCACCCAAGTGACCTTACGAACCAATAACAACAGAAATAACATCAGATAAAAATGCCTATTTCTACAGAACTTCGAAAAGAGTTTACGTTCAACATAACTACAAGGTGGCCTCAAGATCTGAAACGGCTAGACTATATAGAAACCACAGCTATACCGAACCATCTCTATATGCTCTGCCTGTCGCGAAAGTTTGCACGTACAGGAGATGAAAGAAATGCGTAGAGGACATAAAATCGACCTAGCGCTTGCTCTTGATCCCCCTGCTGAGTGATTTCCCCGCGCAAAATGGTTTGTAGTTAGTACTCCCGACTTCCGAGGGGAGGACTGGTAATCAGTCACTGGAGATTAAACGTGGGCCTGCGTCACAGCGTAATGGCTTTAGGCGGAGAATTCAGACCAGGAAAATTGCACGTTGCCAGCTAGCTTTGACGGCTGCTGGGAACTTTTAGCAGCTGCACTCTACAGGGTAGTACTTAAGTGTTCGCTCTAAATCTCAGGCCACTACTTGAAGTTATCCTTGGCATTGAAAGAAAGAAGCATCGGGTATTTTTTATTTCTCCGTGAAGGCGGTCAGTGACTACGGACTGAGTCTTGTATGTAGAACAGCCTTCAGTTTAATTCCGGACTTCCAGTTTAATTCCGGACTAATTCCAAATCCCAGCAACAGTACATCTAGAGGGGCTAATCTTGCAAATTATAAGTAAAAATAATTTAAGAAATAAGTATACATAGCAGCTATCGAGGACCCCTTGGGGATCAACCCAATTCTGCAGAAGCTGGAACTGCAGCCAGAATTCTGGGAACTGGAGCCAGATTTCTGCAGAATTTTCCACTTCAAGAGACTGCAATTACGCTCGTCATGTAATCCGGCTGAAGTGAACTCATTGCTCATTCAACATATCTTCTAAGATGATCACTTTGACACTGCAGAACTTTAAATAACTGCCTCCAAGTATGCGTTCCATTTGGGTTAAAGTTGTGTGATGGCGATGTATTGTGCGCCGACGGTGCTGGAATAGGCAAGTACTTCTTTTGGAGAGGTTAAACTGGCCGTAACCTACGCGCAACAACAATTATGGAACGATTGAGCGGGGAAGTTCGACTCAAATGGCGGTTATGAGAAAGAAAATTGCGACTCTTGAATAGGCTTGACGCACGGCTCACGAGTACGAGTTTAAACACTTGGCATGTGGAATGGTACTTTTCGGGTAAAATATATACGACATTTTATGCATAGAACTACAGCAAGTTGAAATAATTCGGTCATGAAAATACAGAGATGGCTCTGCATTGAAGGCAATTCTATTGCAAAATATCTAGTCATAATTTGATAGATCAAAATAGTTCTTTTATGTTTACATGAATGTTTCCTTCCAAATCGCGAATATATAGATATTTGAAAAAAAATGGTATGACCGAAAATTATCTTCGGTGATTTGTCACTGGTTAGAATATTCATTGTCTAGACCCATGCAAAACTTGACGTCTAAAATCAAGAAAAATGGAAAGTCTTGTCTTACTAAGTTTTCGGTAATTTCAATCAAAAGTATAGATTTGTCTTCATACGCAGATAACTCCTGGTTGGGTATAAAGAAAACTGTGTGCACTCTATAAACCTTTGCCTGGAAAAAGTTACAGGAAAATGATCGTAATCGACTGTATCATCTACAATCGTGTTGAGCGTCTTTCGTTGAAAAGATTAACGAGCAAGCACACCTCATACGCACAGCGGGAGACAGTTCCGCTATTTGTCACACACTCCTGCTCTAGTGCTTCCACTGATTATAAGAGAGCGTTTGACTTTCGAGCGTTTCTGTCAATGTCAACTTTGCAATTTGCAAAGTTCTTCGACCTCTGGGGTGAGTAATCCACAAATACCGTTTGACTGCCATAATTTTTCCCTATTAATCCAAAACCAGTACTAGTGCGCATACTGTGTTGAGAGTATATGGGCTGATGAAACACTGGATAAAAATTATTTGTTTATCTAATACAGGAAAGAAATATAAACGTAACGTCACTCATTCTACTAACTTTAATCAAGACGGCCATTTTTTCGGATTTTAAACGTGGCTGCAATAATACAATAACTCATGCTTCATTTTTCTTTCAAAAAGTGGGAGCAAAATTACAAAGACGTGGGAGGTTGTCAGTAAAACGACAGTAAAATTGCAGTAAAATGGTTTTCCAACAGAAACGACGGGAGGTACAAACTACCTGGCACTTTTGACCCGTTTTGACCCTTCATCTGTCTGTGAGATAGATGATTGGTCATTTGAATTTCAAGGATGGCGGCAGAACAAAGTTTTAGCTCTGTAACAGAGACAGTAACACAACAGAGACAGTGGGTGGTACAAACTACCTGGGACCTTTGACCCTTTGAGGACGTCACCTGTCTTGGAGCTATGTGATTGCTCCTTTGAATTCTGAGGAAGGCGGCAGTAGGACATACACACAGTCAAAAAATTGATCCGCTCAATTTTTCTTTGTGCCAGAAGAAAGTGTAACTCTATAAACTTTAAGCTTTAGATGAACATTCAAGCAAGAGCCACCCGTCACCACATACGAAATGCCAAAGGCGTAAAAAGATTTACCATAAATGTCATCATCATTTTTGAAAAGCCACAAAACTGTTACAATAATGGCTTCAGCTCTTCGGAACTGTCTAACATCTTTTCAATGATTGCTAATAAGTACGAATATCACCTTACATATTTGAGTAATTTGATACATCTTTGGGAGAGGATGATGCCTGAAACATGACGCACGTATATTCGTTGTAATTTCTTTAACAACCTGGGCGTTAAATGAAATATGAAAATGTGACGCTTAGTAAGCTTAACTACAATACCACCTGGCTGACTTCGTCATGGGAAATACATCACCAAGAAACTTACACAAAGAAGAACATAAAATATACATGATAAGATGTACACGATGAAATATACATGACAACGGCTGGCTGCTTGGCGCTCTGTCATTGACACCATTACAAGCTGCGCCCACCAGTGGGTCCAAGTTATTAACCCGATTCTGATTGGCTGGTTTTTAATCTGTTTACCGGTGAATGTAACATATTGTAAGGTCAGGTTTTGAAATGAAGTCGATATTGGCTGTAAATATGCAACGGGGACTTATTATTAACACGACTTGTATAACACAGTGCGTTGCTGGCAATTCTTTTCAGCCGAGGATAACTATCTGTACGATAAGTTTTAAGTATACTATGTGGTTTCATGGATGTTTTATCGTTATGGCATCTATCGTTTTGTAAATATTGTGTCAACTTGATTTTTACAATACGTCTTCCACTTTCTTTTGTGATCACCATGCCATGAGAAATGCTTGTATGTTTTTTTATGGTAATTTGTATGGTAATTATATGGTAACGCAGAAGGACGTGCTCACCTTGGAGTATGTTCCAGAAGGTGATATGGAGATTGCCGCATCAGCCTGATGATCACGATGGTCTTCTGAGATGACCTGGTTCATCCCCAGACCTCCAGGCAACAGTTGAACATACGTTCCCTGGCATCTTCCAACTAGCTTCCAGCAGTGGGCACAGATGGGAACAGGTTGAGAGACAGAGATAAGGGAGGATAGGAATAAGTCAAACTGCATGGGCAAGGAATTACTTCAAATGTTATCACCCAGTTCACAAGAACTCGGCGAAGATATAATGTACGTAAACTCTTTATATATGCCGATAGCTTCCTCATTCTTTTATTCACTCACTCAATTAGAAACAGAAATAAGTCAAAATAGGCAAGGAACTACTTCAAATGTTATCACCCAGTTCTCAAGAACTCGGCGAAAGATGTAATGCTCGTAAACTCTATCTATGCCGATAGTTTCCTCATTCATTCATTCAAACACTTAATCAGAAACATTCCATGACGTTCCATTTCTTTCTTTTATACGGTGCTATTCTGTCTTATATTGTATGGCATATAAGTTACTACACATGTCAGGTATTGCCGAAGAGTCGGCAGTTGGACATCACTGGAAGAAGAAGAAGTTGATTGTTGTATATAAAATTCCAACAGTTTGGAACTTAAACTGCCCTGTGGGCCGCATTATATCTAACCAGTGAACCTAGATACAAAGGGAAGAAGAAGGATGAAGACACATAAAACATGACAACAACCTCTAATCATAGGAAGTTTACATTGTACATGAAGACCACGTACATGTAGCTTTTCATTATTTAAAACCAGATCGCTTTCGTGACCCGATATCCTAAATAAGACTTGCTGAAAAAAATAGCTCCCAACACCATTCTGTTCAACATTCAGCTCAGGAACTCTGTAGAAATAGATCCGGAAAACATCTATAACGCTTTCGGTTGCTGAAATGGATCCGGATACTAGGACTTTTCCGGAATATGCTTTGAAATATGTAGCGTTTTCTCTAAAAGAGCCCTAAGATGTACGATACCATCGACCGTACAGAGATAAGCTATGGTCAATGGAAATCTCATTGTTGCATCGAACGGACACAAATGACAGAGAAACAGATGACCAATGCAATTTAGAGTGGGATGTAGGTCTTCGTTAACAAGATTTGATAGAATAAGAGATAACATTCTTCGCTGCTGTGTATTAAGGTATGTGGGTCATCATTAATAGGATATCGCTGATGAAATCAGACAGACCAGCAGCGGAGAAAATTGGAAATGAGATGAAACTTCTTTTGCAGGCTAATCCTATCTACCCACATGGATAAAGAATGGAAATATGCATGCGGAATTATACATGAAAGTAATTTTGTAGGATTCTGCATAGTCAGTGGTATTGCTTAACACAAACGTATTTCTATTGTCAATGTTGAGAGCTTTTTAAAGATTGTCAGAATGTGGAGGCATAACTTTGCTTTATAAACTTTTTCAACTGAGCGCATGCCATTGCTGTATTGTACGGCCTCTGTATTGTACGGCCAATGCGATTTCAGGGCAATACAACTGGATTTTTAATGTTAATTTTCTCGTCATTTTTAAATGTAGTAAGCTGAACCAACCCTATCCCATATTACATACTGATATATGCGAGGCAAAACCCTGAAATTGCTTTGGATATCTCTAAACTTTGATGACGAAGTACGAGGAACATTTAAGACAAGTATTACTCGATTGTTTCTATCACATTGCTTTATGTATTTGAAAAAAAAATCTACATTAATTCACAGCTCAAGTTATTCGGACTTCAACGATATGATCTACAGTTTTTTTTTTTTAATTTTGACCCCAGCTTTATCAGAGTGAGACGATTTTCATTCATTTATCAATTTGCTAAATGTTGCCAGTTCTGTCCCCTGGCGTATAAAGGCTGTCGTAATATAGGATGTCTCTGCATTATAATCCTTGGTATAGGAATTATAGATGAGAATTCTATTCGGGCAGTCAAATTATCGAGAAAATTGTGTTTAGTAGCTTAATTACTGCCGTGCCCTCTATGGGAATGGGACAATGGCAAAGAAAAGGCAAGTTCTATTATCTATTGAAATTTCCCACATTTGTGGTTGAATTGACATGCCAGGTGATGCCGTATATAGTTCGTACATCTTCGCAAGTAATGTAACCCCCGAGTGTCAGACTTCGTCAGAGTTGCGTCGTTTGTCAGTCCCGTGTCACACCCTCACGTCGATCTGTGAGACAGATAACAGATGCTTCCATTTCAACCTCATTCATCACAAGTAGGCCACACTGATTTAAATTTATGGATGACATCCACACGCGCATTGATTTTCGCCTTTTTTAAATCACGTCCTGTGAGGCTCTGACCTTGGTGACATCCTGCATTGTCTATGGTAGCTAGCGACAATAGCTATAGGGAGCCGGTGGTATCTATGGAGGATGGCACCCAGGCTACCGAAATACATGTACCACGACTCAAGAATTCAGTACATACGTACAGTGCCATAAACGAGGTCGCTACGTACTACCGCAAATTCACAATATCAGCTTTGTGTTCCTGTGGTTTAGCAGCATTGTTTGGGGGCCGGATTTTTCTTTTATTCGCCCGCGCGCACTAGTTTGGATGCCTTCAGACGATGTCATCCATAAGATTATGTCAGTGTAGCCTTACGCCCATTTCGTCGCAACTGGGTTGTTCGGACTTGTTCCCCCGCAACATTCCCAATGCAGACCGCGCAATCAGTGGAGTAAATCGAGGGAAAAATGACGGAAAAACGAGCCCTTAATGGACTGTAATATTGCATGCATTTAGGGAAAATCCACGGAGGACGGATATTGAAAATCGGGGTCGAAATAGGCGGAGAAGAGATGATCTATCATTTCTTAATGCTAAGGACTGAAAACGATCCTGATGTATCTTCCTGCGAGACCCGGTAAATCTTTTCTCCATTAAGTAAATGGAATGTCAAATGCCTGGCGTGGATAGATAAGCAATCTGGTTTGGTGAAAAATCGTAAAATTGTAATTTTTTAAAAGTAAAAAGTATGTTACACTTTTGACAGAAACCCACTATGACCACCACGTCCATGACAACTTATTTCGTGCATAGATGGTTCAGAACTAGTCATACAATAAGTGAAATATTGGGTATAACATGAGGGTATAAATATTTATTGAATGAAAAAGGGTTAAATCAAACAAAACTACGACCAGAAGGTCAATACCTTTATAAAGAAGACTCGGTGTACTAGTATATTCAACTGTAATTGTTTTTCATACATATACTTTCAAGTTAAATTAAAAGCAAACAACATGATCAGATGTAAAAGCAAAATATGGACACCGACATATTGTTCATAACAAAACAACAACATTACATTATAATAGTGATTCCCAGAAATTTAACAAGGTTTAACTTTCTTACATCAATTTTTTATGGGGTATCTTTGATTACGTGTTTACAAACGTCAACTCTTACAAGACATAAAAGAATTGTTGGGTAGCACTAGTATTCGTGTCCAAAAGAAACCACCATCGACATTATCATTTTGACAAATGATTGATTTGAAAAAGATGAAGCCCTAATAATCGCAAAATTGATAAGGGAACGAATTCCTGGATAGAACGATTAAGTGGATCGGTTTATAAAAAATGGATGACCCCTTAAGAATCTTCCTATCAACTGATGATTCTTCAAACTGATCTCTTTTATTCCAATTCTATGACGAGTTTTCGGGGCGTAGAAAGAAAAATAGATATTTGACTGCATTAAAAATTACTTTATCATCGTTCAAAAGCTGTATGAATCACGATAATTCTGGCATACTCATTTTCACCTGAGTGAAGTGAGGAAAGTGGTGTAAAGTGCCTTTCCCAAAGGCACAAGGTTGGTGACTTGGCAGGACTCGAGCCCGGGACCTCTTGGTTTTGAGCCGAATGCTCTGCCGTTACGCCACGCACAACCCCACAAATACATAATTGTTTATGTCCCGACATAGCTGACACTGGTAATGTCCGTTCTATATATGCATTAAAATGTACATATCAAATAAAGAATGAAGTCATCCTTGGGCACTTCCCTAAACATTGATTGACGTCAAAGAAATAGATAAATGGCGTGACCATTCACTTACCTATGCTTCTGCTCCTGCGTGGCGTTTTCCAGTACAGGGAATTCCACTACGATGCTGACTGATGTTCGGTTGACATTCTCATCACTGTTCACTGAGGAAATCCAGTGGCAATGCCGGGAGTTCCGGTAGCCCTGTCGACATGTGTGGTTATCTTTGATAAATTATTATGTGTTTGAACAGATGAAAACCTTGAATTGCCCCGAAAACAAATGATTCTAGCAACTCTTGATAGGTATATATCTACGTTATGTCAATACAAATGATTATTATTTTAAAAAGTTTTACTAGATACCGGGAGTCACCGATCGCTGTACGTTCTTCTTCTTCCTGTTCAGCACGGTGAGGGTAGGGTTTTTTTTTTGATGGTTGCTCGTACAAGTTTTGTGTATGTGGTCTGCAGCTCCTCAATGGGCAGGGACGCCACTCCCTGTCCGCCACCGAGAGCAGGGTGGCGATGAGTACCCGTTGACATGGTACTTTGTTTTCCAGTAGAATTAAAGAGAAATAGGTCATCTAAACAGTTTTGGCGGATGAAAAAAAAGAGAATTCCAATGTATTAGTATTTGCATTTCAAATATGGCATTTCCGATCAGAATGAAGTAAGCTCAGTGAGGCCGCCAAGTCCTCATCAACATATTTATTCACTCTGCTATTTTTATAGACAGAATTGACAACATGTGCAGCATGTGATAGAATTCTTCTCTTCCTTTAACCCAACTGACGTGCAAAATGTGGTAGAATTCTGTATTTCCTGTGTGGTGTTGATGATTGAAAACAGCCAACATTTCCATATGTACACATGTAGTATAGTATTACACTATCTATAGCATTACACTATCAACTGTATCTGGTGATGTAATACGTATTGTGATGTACTAAGATTATAAGTGTTTTCTAACGATGCGAACCTGGCTTTTTCAAGGTTTTCGTTGGATGTTTGGTCAACATTGCATCATCAGGATTTAGCCCGTTGCAGAGGATATCTTTTTTGCAACAACATTTGGAAACTATACAACCTTAAACGATGGTATGTTCTGCTGAAGTGCCATGAACAATACATAACGATTTTTGTGCCGGTACATGTACAGTCCTTCAAAACCTGTGTCTACTGTACATAGACAGCCTACTCATGTGGCTCTTACCACCAATCACATCTATAACAGCAGCAGTTTCTGATTTTGTAAGTCAGATTAGTGCAATATATCAAAAGGTGCTCCATGTATCATACTGTTCTATAGACATCAAGAAGTTTCTGTTGTCATGGACAATAATCTTTGCTACCACAATGTATTACCAACAGAGATCCAGCATCATGTAAAGTTGCACGTAAAAGCAAATACATGCTTAAAACCTGATTTTTCTTTGAACATTTTCTAAGGTTTGTGGACATTATTTTTCAGTGCTACAGTTGTAACTTCAGAAACAAGGCATATCTGCTAGACTGAGATACATACAATAGCTGAAGTAAAAACAGTGAATATTCTATGAAAGATATTTACAGACATTTCCAAAAATATACATCTACTTTTCCACATACAGTACATATCTATCATAGAGATGTAATTCAGATTAATACTTTACCAGTGTGACTCAGTTACAAAGAACTGTCTATTGTGATACACTGTAGCCCTCAGGTGTAGCAGGGCAGAATATACCTAAGGTTAAAACATATCCTGGTACATTTTAGCTATGGGTATATTCCGGCCTGCTACACCTGATGCCTTCAACAATGGGAAGTTTTAAAGGCATTCAGTGCAATTTCAGGGTGGCAAAACCAAACATATTCTGGATGAGAAAATCTGTCCGATATTGACATTTATTGCCACTTCTTAGCACGTTTTTGTAATCATTTTATACTTTAAGTGTTTCAAATAGCCCCAAACCAAGCTATGAGAGGAGTCCCTTAATTCATGGGTACCACTCATAAATAGCTGGAGCCAGCCTACAGTCAATGTGACATTGCATTGTTGCCTCATATCAGTATGCTACGGGATAGGATTGATACAACTCCCTACATTAAAAGAATGACATTGAAATGTCCAGTTTTACTTTCCTGAAATTGCATTGGATGAGTATGTCGGCAGAACATATTGCAACTGCGCAAAACCCGTAATTCATTGTGCATACCACTTTGGTAGAAGGTCTTATATTCTTGCATAAAAGGTTAACATCCCGTCTGTAGTTTCCAAATGTTATGTCAGAAAAGATATCCTCTGCAAAATTCTAATGCGGACAGTTGACCAAAAATCCAATGAAAACCGTAAAATATCAGGGTTTTGCCCAGGCGCAGTACGTTCTGCTGACGTGCTCATTGGCTGTCTTTAAGAAGTGGTGCCTCTTTGTCTGTGTTCTCGGAGTCCCTGCAAGAAAATCTGCTTGGTTTGGTCCATGATTGTCCGGTAAAACTTCAAGTCTTCTTCCTTTGCCTTCAGTGTGCTCTGCAGAGCTGCTTTAAGGGCTTCGTTTTCGTCCCGTTGGATGGACAGTTGGACCTCCATCTCTTCAAGATCTTCCAGACCTGGCTTGAAGTCGCCCTGTCCGACTGAGTCTCGAACTGTTGATCTTCCCTTCTTGGGAGAGCCTTTGTTTTCAAGCTTGGCTTTCCCTGTGTAACATGAAAAGAAACCTACAATGAGTGTCATTGGAAGACAGATGAAAATTGTCCAGACTATGTATGATGGACAAAATGACAAATAGATTGGTGGATGTACATACCAACTACCAGGTACCTAATACCAGCTCAGAAAAGAAAGAAAAGGCATGCCTTCAAGTACCAGAGTTATCAACCAAGGATTGAGATGTTCTGACCTAGCTGTTTCTCTAGCTGTACATTGCGCTGTCTATGCTGTGACAGCTGACTGTCTGCTTCTGTTGCTTTTTGCTCTGCTTCATCCAGTCTGAAAGAAAATAAAAAATTAAAAACACTCTCAGCGTGAAAAAGAATTTGTCATTTTTATTTAACCTGCAAATGTTACACATTAAACTAACTCCTAACCTTGGTTGTGGGGTAGTTTGGCTGGTGTTTATGCCTGTGTCACATTGTCGATGAGCTTTGGCCGTATCTGTAGAACCTTCGTCCGACACTTGCACGAAGCTCGCTCGAACCACGCACGATTTTAAAAACTTTGCGCAAGTCGGGCAAGGTACCAAATATTTCGTGAAGCTCGTGTGAGGGTCGACCATATTCAGCGACCATCGCCTGATTTTTTAAGTCAAAGAACGGCCAAGACTCATGAGATGTACGTCCGAATATCGGTCGACTGTCGGCCGTACAGGAACAAGCTACGGGAGAGCTGGAAACGGGATCTGCGACCTCAAAAATTACCGGCGACTAGTCACTAATGTTAAGAACACGTTTCGCGTCTCAACGAGCTTCGGCCAACTCCAAAAAATTGCTGGCAATCCCGAAAATTCTTGCAATGCTCGACGGAACATCGGGCATACTACGGCCGTAAATGTCGTTTAGAGCTCGCCGACTAGTCGGCCGATCGATTTACGCGCAATGTGACGGCCCCAGTAGGAGGCCATATTTGGTTATGTTTGACTACTAGATGGGCTTAAGGGAACACCTACCTGTTGTGCAGCACCTGTACCAGCTCTATGAGTTTGTCTCTCTCCACCTGAGCAGCCTGGCAAACTGTTCTCTGTTCTTGCAGCTGGATCTCTATGTCTTTTACCTTCAACTCACTGTGAACAATACAACACAGTATGTTAAATACAGTACAGAGCTAGAACAACATGCCATCTATACAATCAATGCAAATTGTACAAAATTGTGACAGTTGTGCAAATTGTGTATTCTGCTAAAACTTAGAACTGCAATCCTTTACAGGTGAATGACAACAGCTGGGATTCAAACTCTAAACCTCTTGGTCCAGAGGCAGGGTAGCTATTCACTGGACTATGCATGCTACTGAAGAGACAATGACAGTCGTACATGTACCTGTCTGTAGCAGGTCTGATAACCGTTGCTCCCCTGATTGCCTGTGCACTACCAGACCTAGCAGGGCTTGCAACTCCATTCCTACTGCCTCGTCCATTCCTGCAAAACAAAGTTTGGTAGACCTCAAGGGGATGACAGTTCTATTCTGAACTCCAAATTCATTTTTTGAAACACTGGTGCATCTTGCCTAGAAATTTTGGACAGACACTCACAGAGGCAAACTAAATACAATACCTGCATTTTTCACAGGCTGGGGTGAAAATACTAACACTTACCAGTAAGACATAAATGAATAAATGAGAAAGAGCACAAACTTTGAAAACGTGCAATGACTCACTGGTTCTGTGTGTTTAGATAGAAGGCCTCTGATGAGGTAGGTCTGATGTCGTTGCCATGGGAATGGGATGACATGGAGCTACCAAGACCATGGTGGGCAGAGGGTGGGCGGTTACCATGGAGATCAGAGGGCGTTGACCTGGAGGGCGGGCGCCTGACAGGGCTGACATGTCCCCCCTGCATGGCCGCCATTCTGTGGTCCTGTAGGATAAATATAATAATATAATATATACTTACTATAATAGGTGAAAAGATGGTCTTGTGTTTAGGGTTGTTCACTCAGAATCTAGAGGTTCTGGGTTCGAATCCTAATGGCAGGGACTTGACAGCACAAGCACACTTTATCTGTTGTTTCTGTAATGTTATGTGTTGGTTCTCCTGTTTGTGTTACTAGTATTAAATATATCCAACTGTAGCTCATATCAAAGTCTCTAGATGGCATTGCTCACACGTTTCATACTGCATTTGGTTTTCCTTACATTCTTTGCCATGCTCAAGCTTGTCACTAATGTATAGGCCACACCATGTAATTTTCATGGATGACGTCCTCTGGAGACAATAGATTTAATGTGAGAGTGCAAAAAAAAAGAAAAAAGCAAGATGCCTAGATTTGAAATATACTAAGCTACAACAAAATTTTAGGACACAGATTGACACAGTGTATTCGTCATGAAAACAGCAACAAACCAGTGGAACAGCAGTTATCGTCCTGTCCTGTTTCTTTCCTTTCATCACATCTTCCCTTATCCCACTGTTGTGACTCTTTGGTCATAATGTGGACATCACCTATAAAATTAATTGGTGTGGCCTTAGCTAACTACATGTTATTGCAGTTCACCCACATATCAGTAGATGGCAGTGCTCACCCTGATTCCTCTGATCTCCTCCTCCAGTGCCTTAACCTGCCCCTCCTTCTGTGCCACTATGGCCTTGAGTTGGTCCACGATGTTCTGATCTTGCATGTTTTTGGTGATGATCTGGGTGACTTCAGCCTGCTGTTGTTGTTGGTATTCTTGTTGTTTCTTTGTCGTTTGTTCCAGTAACTTCTGCATCTGCTCTTGTTGATTCTGCAAGGCAGGGAAGGAAATGAAAATGGTAATCAGAAATGGCAGATTTCATCCCCTTAACCAAACATCTATTATAGCTATTAAGTTCAGCACCAAGGACAGGTATGTTTGCCTGTGTATAGATAGTGTTCAGCATCAGGAACAGGAATGTTTGTCTGTGTGTGGATGGTGTTCAGCACCAAGGACAGGTCTGTTTGCCTGCATGTGAATGGTGTTCAAAACCAAGGGCAGGGGTGTTTACCTGTGTGTGGGTGGTGTTAAGCACCAATGACAGATATACTTACCTGTGTGTGGAAGGTGTTCAGCACCAAGGACAGGCATGTTTACCTGTGTGTGGAAAGTGTTCAGCACCAAGGACAGGTATGTTTTCTTGTGTGTGGAAGGTGTTCAGCACCAAGGACAGGTATGTTTTCCTGTGTGTGGAAGGTGTTCAGCACCAAGGACAGGTATGTTTTCTTGTGTGTGGAAGGTGTTCAGCACCAAGGACAGGTATGTTTTCTTGTGTGTGGAAGGTGTTCAGCACCAAGGACAGGTATGTTTTCTTGTGTGTGGAAGGTGTTCAGCACCAAGGACAGGTATGTTTGCCTGTGTGTAGATTGTGTTCAGCACCAAGGGCAGACATTTTCAACTTGCAAAATCTAATTTTTTGGTGGGGTTTGCAATCCAAAAAAGCTAGGGTCGGCGGTTTTTTCTCAAGTCGGTTGGGAAACAGGCAACATTTTTTCCTAGGCCTAAGGTGTTTACCATGAGTGCAGTGATGAGTTCATCGTCGTTCTTCCCCTTGTCCAACAGCACGGCCAGCTGGTCCTTTAACGACTTCACCTCGTTAGCCAGGACCTTGTTACGAGCCTTACTGGCATCACACCTGTCCTTCAGCTTACTGTAGTCTGCTTCCAGGGCTGCCTTTTCTGCTTGTGCTTTCTACGAGACAAAGAAAGAAATAGACATTTTAGTGTACATCATGCATACAATTAGAAAAAAAACATGGACCTTCTGTTAATAGTTTCATCAAGTTGGTAAGTCGCTAAATATTTTGCAACCAAGTGTTTTATTCAGCTGAAGTTTCTGTGACTGTCTGTAACCAGATGTGCCGCCTAAACTACTTATCTTGCTTCTGAACCCTGGTAGTGCAGTGTGCACTACAACATTTTGTGGTAAAGATTCCCCATTTCCATTGAGAAATGTTCACCGAGTCCCTTCCGTATTTTGCATATGCCCTGGGTTTAGCTCAGGACTTACAAGTCTGGATCTGAACCTAAACCTCTGGACTTGAATCCGCACCTGGACCTACACGTGGGTTTAAACAGTACTATGAAGAATTGTTGAAAGATTAAGTGTAAAACCTGCCTCTGAGGCTTCCTTCCTGTCCCTCTCCAGCTGCCTGATCCTGTCCCTGTTCTTGTCGCTGTAGTTGGTGGCTCGTGTTGTGGTACCCATGAACTGTTCCTCCAGACTCAGCCCCGACCCGGACCGGGTAGTCTGCATACCCAGCTGACTCTTCAACTCAGACACCTGCAATGTACAACAGCACAACTAAACATCAGAATGCATCATCAAGGAAATCTTAAAACTGCATTATGTAAGTTAGGCCACACCAATTTGATTTGTTGGTTCTCTGATTTTTCCAGAAAAAATATGGAGACAGGGCGAAAAAAACAAACAGGCCTAGGCATCCTATTATAGCCAAAAATGCTATGATAGGAGCCATGAAGTCAACATACCTGGCTTATTAATGAACACAGAAATAAGATGTTACCTTCTTCTGTAAGTTGAGAATCTGCTGTGCACGACCTCTGAACCCACTAGAGTCCTTCAGTAAGGCTTGGATGTTGACTCCCTCCCCTACCTCCTTCTCTAGTACCTGTCAGGAAACAACAACATACATGTAGTACAAAGACTTAAATACAGACTAGAAAGGTACATCAAATGCATATTACCTTCACCTGGTCTAGCCTACACAAATGCTCTGTTTATTCTTACTCAAACACATTCATAATTACTATTAGTATTACGTGTAAATTGTGACAAGCACTTCCAGCTCTGTCTTGCTACATGACGTAACCCAACACCACAGGGTGCCTGCTTCATCACTAGTTACCATGGTGACAGCTGTCTGGTCTAGGTCAATGACCTTATGCGTTTGGAGAAACTGAACAAAAATTAATGTGAAGGTACATTGTGTTAACCAGCCTGACTGTGGGTCAGATCGCTTGAAGGCCAGAGATAGATTGAAACCGCAGGACTGAGGACGATACGGAATACCCAATTATGTTATCTTATTTATGTCAACTTTTGATACAAATAAACTCAAATTTGAGATAAATTTGAGTCAAATTTGACAACGAACCATGCTCTGAACTACTCCTGAACAACAGCAAATCACCAGTCAACCATGCCTAAACCTCCCATCCAACACCCAAATGTTGCAAACATTTTGAAACATAAATTTTTAACAGCAGCGACCTTGCTGAAACCAACCTTTACTCCTAACTATGGTTGTGGGGAGTTTGACAATGTTCAGAGGCCATATTTGGCTATGTGTGATTGAGCTTGATACAGAAATTGGATGGGTAGAAAATTGATGTACCCTATCAGACATTAGAAATTGTTTTTGTGTGCAATATTCTACTGTGCCTTGTTTAACCTTGATTATTTGTCTGGAGATATTTGAGCTGGATATGATTATACTTGCTAATATAATCAAGACCAGACATATCCACCTCAACCTTGGCCTTCAGCCTTACTCTAAATCCGTTTAGGTTTGCAGCAGTTAGATTTTGCAGCCCAGAGAAAATCAATAGTTTTTCTAATCGTTTGAGTTTGAGATTAAAACAATATATGCCTATTATTTCGCTAGTGAAGGTTAGAACTTAGACATCCATATACATGTAATAAGATATGCCAAAAAAAAACAGTTACTCAAGCAACAAAAATGTCTGTTTTTTATTCCGTTCAAAAATCATAATCCAGTTGCTTAAGTACATGTTGTAACTGTATTTGGTATACATGTAACTATTACTGTAGAAACACAAAACAGAAAATATATGGGGTTATGATAAATTTGTAATACGTGTAAATCTTGAACTTATTTAAAACAAAGCAAATTTTTCAAAATTTATGGTAAAATAATCAAAAGGTAGCTACATGTACATGTACTGTAAAGGATTGATGACATGAGAAGAATTTTTCACAGTCAAGCAGGACAAATTGATTTGTTTCTAATCAGCTGTCTGACCTTTTGGTGGCACCCATTGGTCATAGATTCTGCAGCAGGGACGTCTTAAACCAATCACGGTACACGTGTCAGACAGAGTAGGATGTAATGTCTCAGCTTGATCTGATTAGGTGGGGGATCTGTCTGGCTCCATAGAATAGCAGCCAAGTTCTAACTGTTGTGTACAGGTAAATGTATGTGAGCAAGGGTGACACAGGACCACACAGTTCTTTCATTTTGCTGATTACGTTTACCTTCGCAGAAGGAAATTACGTTTACCTTCGCAGAAAGAAAACATAATTGTTTTTGCTCTGTTTCTTCTTTCTCTTCTTCTCCTCCAAGGTCCATGACCTGAACCAGACATCTGTCAGCATGGTGTTGTGTTGGCTTACATCATGTTGCAATTTTATAGCAGGAGGGATTTAGACTCCTTTTACCCTAATATGAATGTGTTTGAGTAAGAATTAACAGAGTAGTAGTAGTAGCATAACAAACACCCAACCATCCAATGTAATACAGAAAGACAAAAACAATACCTTGTTGGCCACTTTCAGCTCTTGTTTCAACATGGCCACTTCATTCTTGGTCTCCAGTAGTTTTGATGTTGTCTGAGTCAGTTTTTCCTTCATTGCCCTGACATCAGCCTCAGAGTCCTGTATATGGATAAAAACTTATCTGTTTATCAGATGTATTTTGTTAGACATTGTCACCTCATTTAGAATACTAGCATCTACTAGGCTTTGGAAGCAGCTGGAAACAATAGAAATTGGCCAAAAACTGAAAAAAGACAGATAACATGCCAGGGGAGCTAGTTTGCATATACATAATGAGTATGATAATAAGAATACGTCCAATTCAAGTTTTAGAAAAAGGTTCTGGTAAGTCATGCCATATCTAGACTTTTTCCAGGATATTAGAAACAATTCTTTTACAAGGTTGATACTAAGCTCTCTGTAATAAATTCCAGTACTAGAAAATATGTCATGTAACAACATTTCCCTAGCTTTTAACTGATATCCCAGTACATGCCATACAACTTTTACATCTAATTTTGCCATATACACAACCATATCAAAATACATGTAAGCATGAACTGTTACAGTACCCTTTCCTCCTCCAGACTGAGAGAGACCTGTCTAGGGGAGGCCTTCTCATCTCGAGCACTGGCACGGGCCTGGGCTACTGCTGCTTTCAACTGAGGGAACAACAATAACATACGTGATGGACAGAGTTATATAATTTATGGAAATATGACAGTCCAGGTTTTTTTTAACAGGGGAACAATAGTCTTACTTCCAGCATGCAACCTTTCGAACATTGGGAGTAAATTTTAGCATAGTCATAAGTGGCAAATTCAGATTGATGAGTTTTCAACTGTAACTTGTTTCTCCAAAACTTCAAACAAAAAAATCATTTGAATACTACTGATTATAACATGTGTAGCATGTCGGCAGAATGTACGTATATACTGCACCCATAATGTATTGTGCATAGCACTTTGGCAGAACGTCTCATATAAGGTCGTAGTAGCCTGTAGTAGCATATGTAAGGTTAACATTCCAACTGTACTTTCCAAATATTGTGTCGGGAAAAAACATTGTCTGCAACAGGCAAAATTCGGATGCAATGTTGAAGAAACATCCAAGGAAACCTGTGAAAAATCAGGGTTTTGCAAAGGCGTGGTACGTTCTGCAGACATGCTTACATGTGTATGTACATTGTAAGTGTTTACTATAGCAGCTCCACCTACCTGTTTCTCCAGGTCCTGCACCTTACGTGTGAGTTGTGTCATCTTGGTTCTCCCACTCTCCACCTCTGCTGTCAGCTCCCTGTTCTTCTTGGACAGCTCCACAATCTTGGTGGCCGCTGCTTCACTGGCCACACCACCTGCACTACCTGTAAATAGATACATCAACATGTCAATAACAAATTATCATGGAAGTTCTGTGTTCGTAGTACTGTAGTGCTGTGTACATGTACCTAAACCCATGTCTGGATTCAAGTCCAGAGTTTTAAGTCCATGTTCGGACTTGTAACATTGTTAACATTTCCCAATGGAAATTGGGGCATCTTTACCAGGGTTTAGAAGCAAGATACTAGTATGTTGTTTTGGGGACATGTCTGGGCAAACCCGTGAGCACATAATTTACTGAGGCTGACACTTGACGATGCCCAATGGTAATGGTTTAAAATAAATAGTGGTATGTGACATGATTTTTTTAGGAAGTGTGAACTAATTCCAGACATTCAGGTTTTTTTGGACTAACTTGAACCTAAATATTTTTACAAGTCCGGAACTAGTTCCAGTGAACCTGTACACCATCGCTAGTACACATTACATTAGTTACCAAAGCAAAGGGACCCAAAATTTAGATGATGGAAAACTATTAAAAGTCTGGCTACAGCACTGAATAAGAGACAACATACCCGTAAGAAGAGCGCGCTCTTTCTCCATCTTCTTTCTGACCTGACGAACTTCGTAGTCCCGCTCTGACAGGAGTTTGTACAGTCGGCCATTTTCATCTCTCAGCTCCTGTGGACACATTCATAATGTAACAGGATTTCTTCATTGCAAAAGCAAAATTTAACATTAACTGTGCACACCCAGTTTATAGTACAGTGGATTCATTCGTCCTCCCTTAGAAAGACATCTGCATGGTTCCAGTAAGTTTTTAGTCATTGACAAATAACTTCTGATTCTGAACCTAGATAACACAGAGTTCTTCGCAAATACATCATTGATAATGATCTGTTTAAAAGTTAGTACATTGTACCAGTATATACATTTAGGCAGTAAAGTAATACTTACTCTGACTTGGTCTTTTAGATTTGACATCTGTTCTTCTGCATACATAATGTCATTCTTTGCAGGAGGTCCACTCAACTAGTAAAACATTAGAAGAGAGGTGTCAATGTCATTTGTATATTTGTACATACATGTATTTATAGGTTCATTGTATTACATGGAAAAACAGACATGTAGTACTTAGTATTACACAAGAGAAGTACATTTGCAATTGCCTTAGGCTTTACAGACCATAGCTGTCTTCTGTGTCATCTGGGTTGACTAATGATGGGTACACTTTGAGAACTGATAGTGATCAGGCTATGCTGTGGTTAGCCGCGGCGACTGTTGCAGGGCTTCTCTTGCTTGCAGTCTTTTACATATGGCCCTAACAACAGTCGCGGAGCGGTGCATTGGGCCAAATGAACAAACATGCGTTTTGCTGTGCCGGAACACTTTGAGACCGAAGTTTGCACGTCCCTGGATTCCTAACAGCCTTACCTAATGTGCCGGGGTGTTTTGCGCGTCAACTGGCACGTTAGGTAAGGCTGTTAGGCTATGCTGTGGTGTAATTCATAAAAATGTTGCAAGATATTTACCTGCAGTCCCATGTCATCCTCCACATACATACTGGCCTGGAACGGCTTCTCATCATCTCCCTTCTCCTGCTCCTTCTTCAGCTGTTCTTTCCTCTCCTTCAGTCTCTGCATCTTCTTCTTCTGCTGTTCTTGGAGGGAAGCAAACTGCTGCTTCAGGGTCTCACTGGTGCTCTCCATGTCTGGGATGGGGTAAACATGAGGGAAAGAATGCACGTGTAAGGCCAGACCAATTTAATTTGTGGGTTCTCGGATTCGCCTCTTCATTTTATTCTTGCAAAAAAAATTCTGAATCAACTTAAGTAAAAAATGCTCAAATTTTGACCCCATCAGTTGAGCAAAGTCCTATTCTTACAAGTTGTTACAGTTTTTCCATCTATATAGCCGGTATAACCACCCTTCGGTGTGACACACCAGCTAACACAGTATACTAGTACCGCAAATTACGATTTCTTCTCTGTTGTTTCTGCGTCTCCTATATGTGCCCCCCTCCCCACAAGGACACCGTCGCCAAGTTACCTAAATAAACAACCACTGTTTAATAGATAACCGAATTCCTTACATATGCAATACGTCCTTCATGTATACGAATATCACAAACTTACCTCAGAGCTTTGACAACAAATTTTCTGAGGTAAAAGTCGTTCGTTTCCTTGGTGATTTCAAATCGTTTGTTTCAAATGGCAGCCATCTTGGAATGTTGTCCCAAGGGACAATGAACTTTGAACTCCAACCAATCAGAGCTAAGAAGACCTTTGCCCCATAATGTTTATGACAGTTTGGAGGCCGAGTTACTCTATGAATGTGTGTTTTTCATGTGTTTTCACGCAGGTAGGTGACTTTTCACACCTTTTTCCTTATTACATGTTTTCCCCGTACTTGAATGGGACAGCCATTACCATGCCTGCTCACATCTGCTATACATTATGACGGCGGGAAAAGGTGTTTATTTTCACACTTTCTTGAAACTTGACACCCTATTAAAAACAAGACTAGGACACATCTGGACTCAGTTAAGCACAATTTATTCACAAAGTACACGTAGTTTGTCTTCTTTTCATCATACTTTGTGGGGGTTAACAACTATACTAGTATGCTGAGTTAATAATCAGTGAGTACGGAACATAGAACAGTAAGATACAGATGGGACTGTGATGGGTGTCAGGACGACTCGGCCCCAAGTTGGCACCATACAGTAATTTCTCAACAAATAATCAGTACTTTGGACTCAGAGAATTGTAATAGGAGCATTCTGACAATAGTCTTGACTTATTCTATACTATAAAAAGACATGATGATGATGAATGGTTTATTGACATAAAATCCATCGCAGCCCGCAGGCTGAATTGCGGATTCCGATTACACATAGGGCTCAATTGACAATAAAACAATGGGTCAATTATCCTATATATAAGTATAAAAAGAAATAACGTTGATGGATAAAATTTAGCATTTATACAATAATAGGTTTATCAGACGGTATATTAAAAGCTTAATCCTTAAAAACATTAACTATTTGATTAAGTATTTAAAAGGCGAACAATGTAAGCTATTGGGGAGTTCCTGAGTCGTTCAGTCCTACATTTAATTGGTCGATACTTGTCTCTGTTTCTGGTTGTTCTGTCGTGGTAGTCCGAACCCTTTGGTGGCAGCATTGACGGTGTGTGGGATTCTAAATGAGTCCCGAACTTGAGACACAGCTTCTGCCGGCGGTCTGAGAGCAACGGAAGGTTTAAGTCTGTCCTGCCTTGCTCGTAGCTAGTGAAACGCCTTCCCAGTATTGTCCGAACTGCTCTCCGTTGTACAGCTTCGAGTTTGTCCGACTGTGCACAAGTGAGCCCCGGGTGCCAAACTGGCGCGCAGTATTCCAATACTGGCCGTACAAAGGACGTGTATATAGTGACGAGGTCACCGGTGGGAAGATTGAAGTGTTTGAGTTTCCGTAGGAAGAAGAGTCGACCGTTAGCCTTTCCGATCATTTTGTTAACCTGTGTCTCCCATTTCAAGTCTCTCTGCAGCCACACCCCCAGAAGACAGGTGAGTGGCACAACTTCAAGGGGGGATCCATTGATGGTGAGCGTTGGTGGTGGGGGCGGGCATTTCATGAAACAGAAAGTGATGACCTTGCACTTGTCTGGGTTCAATACCATGTGGTTGTTCCGACACCATCTAGTGAAACTGTCCAGTTCATCCTGCATAAGCGGCGGCTCGAGGTGGTGGCGGGATTCTGTCATAGACAAGTCATCCACATACTTCCAGTGATGAAGCAGTGCGTCCCTCATGGCATCATCAAACACTACGAGGAAAATTAACGGACCAAGAAGTGTTCCTTGCGGCACTGAGCAGGTCAGTACCTCCCAGTCAGATAGCTGTCCTCCATAACGAACTCTTTGCCGCCGCTGGGTTAGAAAGTCATGTTATTCTTTTAGCGACATACGTTATATTGTTATTGTCATTAGTATTTTTTGTTACAATTATTATTTAATTGTGCAATACATGGAAAAAGACTGTTACTTAAATTTGGTCAGGGAGCTTAAAGGGCATTCCTGTTCCTCATGATCTTTTACATGAATTATATTATGTAAATAAAGTTGAAAAATATGGATTTGGCCTGCGCCGCTCAGGGCAAGATATTATACTACCGGGGCAATATTTCGTCATGCCCACCCACCGAAAACACACGAGAATACAATGATAAAAAAACGTCGAACATTTCTCACTTCATCATACATGTTTCATGATTACATGTAGTTTCTTTATCTATACGTTTATACAGTTGCGGTGTAGTTGCAGTCATCACACACGAGGGTCTCCTGAGTGTTGTTGTCGTCCAACCCTGTCCTCCTCTGTCGTCTTGCTGCTATTCTCACTAGGCCCCTGCAGTCTGGCTGACCATGGTCATGTTCCCTCTGTGCTCTTATGCTGCCGTCTATTACTTCTATGGCTCTCTTGTCGCTCCAGATGCGATATTCTTCCATCTGATCTGTGTCTTCCTTCACTCCCTGGGACCTGGATACCCTTGGATTTGTTGTTCGTCGAGTCTGGGCTGGGCGTTTACGGGCCTTTTTTGGCATGCGCTTTTTCGACGGACCCCTGCTAACTGGCAGCTTTCGTGGACGAAGTACCATTAATGTTCCCGCTTCATTCAGGGTCTCGACGTCATTATGTACAATGTTTCCCTTCCTGTCTCGGTTGAGGTACAACCTTTCCTCGTCTTGTGTCGGCCTCAGGTATGAAGTGGCGTGAGGCCTATAAACCCAGTCGATCTTGCAGCCCTTGTTCCAAGGTTTCTGTCCAGGCTTAAACCGGCAATCGTGTCGGGGTGTCTTCCTTTTCTTCCGTGCCGGCATGACGATGGCTTCTTGATGTGGGTCAGATGTAGTTGTCTTCCGAATTCCGAGAATTTCTGCAAATCGTTTGTTTCAAATGGCAGCCATCTCTCTTGAATCAAACTGGCATGCTAGGATGTTGTCCCAAGGGACAATGAACTTTGAACTCCAACCAATCAGGGCTCAGATCTACAGAGTGACCTTTGCCCCATATAACTCATGACTTTTTGCGAGCGAACATCGCTACTTCCTGTGAATTCTAGCCACATTTCTCGATGATTTGGCCACTTATTTTCAGTTGTTAACTATTTTGTAATTACAGAAGTACGTATTCTGTCACAGAATCGCTCCTTAGAAAATGTCACGACTTATAAACTCTACAAAATGTGAAGATTTGACTGTTTCGAAATACGCCCTCCCCCTTTGCTAGTGTTTATACAGTGTTTTCGATTTCAGTGTACATTTGAGATGGCGGAGTTTGGAGCCCATCTGACCGCTGCAGGAGCGGAGGGCGACGAGAAGCCGTCGATCTTCGAAGTGTTGGCGCAGGAAAGCTTGATGACCGCCGTCCGTCCGGCTGTGAAACACGCCAGTAAGATTCTTGCAGAGAGGAACCCTGCTCGATACGGCTGGCTTTACAGGTAAGGAGATACCTCCGTCAAAGATACCCAGGGCGATTTCAAGGCAATGAAACTGGATTTTGAAACTACTAGTAAATTTTCGAGTCATCTTTTAACATGGCAGATTAAATCAACCCTGTCCGATAATGTAGCATTTATAGGCTGTAGTAGAGGGCCTGCATGAGGGGGGGGGGGCAATGCTCAATCCATAATTTTTGAGAGCAGGCTACGTATTCCCCTGAAATCAAGAAGCCTTTCCATTACGTTTTACGATAAATTCCGGATAGCTACAACGCATTACAGAATTAAAACGGAAAACGGCATGTGGGCCCCCATAGTAATTTACAAGTACTATAGGATGAAATATGATATCGCTGACGGAAAATGGTTTATTTAGTATCACAGGCTAGTCCTACCTTTTTATTGGTAGTACGAAAAAATAATGGGAGTCCTTGGGTGGCTTGTTTTTATGCTCTTTCAACAATTTGGCAATTGGATGTAAGTTCAGCATTCAGAAAGTTGTTTTAGATTATATCAAAATACTTCCATCACACACACGACTTATTACTTATGTGTAACATTGTATTTTTTTTTCTTCTAGGTTCAATGATGAGATCTACACACTACTAGACACTCTACTACAGCACCACTACCTTAGAACATATGGAGCCTCGTTTGCTGAGAACTTCTACGGTCTGAAGAGGATACCGATTCATGGAGGTAAACTTCGGCACCAACATCAACTGAAATCTCTTGCGTTTCTCACTCTTCTTCCGTATCTCAAACTCAAACTTGACCAAAGGTTTGAAACACTTCAAGAGCAGGAAGCTGACTCAGGGGGTATCATCAGCGATGCAATTCAAGAACAGTCTCTGTGGAAGAAACTGGAGAGAACATTCCGTGTCATATATCCTTATGTTCACATGGGATGGGAAGGTGCAATGTTGTACTATCAGTTTGCGTACATTTTTGACAAGAGTCAGTATCACTCACCTTTGTTACACATCGCAGGGGTGAAGTTGTGCAATCTTAGCGCAGAAGACATACAGGTGCAGCAGAGCAAAGGAGCACTAGAGACACTTGCAGGTGGGGGTGGTAGTAATCAGGGTAACATTGCGACATTTATCGGAAAAGCGGCAGTGGTCACTGCAGTTTCGGTTTCAAGCGCCCTTTCTGTGGGTGTGTTTTTCCTACAGTTCCTGGAGTGGTGGTATTCGGAGGAAAATCAGAACACAGCAAGGGCTGTGTCGTCGTTGCCCGCCCCTCCACCCCCCGCGGTAAAACATGATGGTACAACCCCCCGTTTCCACCCGTCTGTTTGCCCTGTTTGTGGCAGGGTGCGAACAAATGACACGGCACTGTCCACGTCAGGACACGTGTTCTGTTATCCATGTATCTACAACTTTGTACAGAAACACCAAAGATGTCCCATTACTGGATACCCTTCTGCTATTAACCATCTCATCAAACTGTACCTACCTGATTGACGTTGTATAGAGGAAGTAGAATAGAGAGGTTAATGCCCCGCCCCAAGGTGTATATGGTGAGTAAATCCCTTGTCAGGTGCAATAATCACTGAATAAACCACCAAGTGAGCGTAGTGTAGGGCCAGGGATTATCTCAACATATACATATACACCAAGGATAAGGTGGGGCTTTAACGTTATCACATTGCCTATCTAACTGACACTGTTATATTTGACACAACTTCTGGTTACAGCCATACAGGGGTGTTAACAAGGGTTTGCTTACTTCTGCAGGGCCTAACATCTGACTTTACCCATAAAAAACATGTCATTCTGGAACTTATTGTCATGAAAAGATGAGACAGACTATACACATGCACAACTGGAATTTTTTGAAAATTGTTTTTATGCATCTTTGTCAGAACTTCTTACATTGCAGTGGAAAATGTTTCCTCATGTTAAGACAATTAAGCAACTCTACTATAGACAATGAATATGTACATTGAATATTGTGGCGGATATTATGTATTAATAATTAATGTGTCTTATCATTATCTTTCATTGTGTTCAGCATTAAGTTATTAGAAATGGCACTATGATCCATAAGGGAAGCATATATCTAAAGGGTAGAATGGCTAATATGGCTGTTCATTACAAGATTCTCAATAATGCTTAGCATAGAGGCTATGGTATTGACAGACCATCTGAGTAGTGAGGGCAAAATACTGTCTTCTAAATTTTGCTTGATGATAAGCTCTGCCTTAGTATGCTAAAACAAAACAACAAAATATAATTTTACTCGCTTGACTCTAAAACTATTTTCCACTTACGGCGTTTTCTGTAAACAAACCTAAATACATTGTTCACTTGTATCGTCATGGCAAAGGTTGGTGTTGGTTTCACGAATGGTATTTCGGCATTATAACAGTTTTCATAAGTCTAGATAATGAAAGAGGCCATATTAGCATTTACATTGATACAAATTGTAATTATATGATTATACCTAATTAATTTTGCAGTTACTTCTCATTAACGTGCATCTCTGGCCGGCTTACAGTACTTAGTACTAATGATACAATAGTCAGCGCCCAATAGAAACACACGGGAAAGTCAAGGTGCAAATTAACGTAGACAGTCAAACCAACACGGCACTCGATTGGATGGTTGGTACATTCTTTCTCCGACCAATAAGAATGTGACTTTGCACCAATCACAGGCCGCCGTCAATAACCAATAGGAATTGACGCTCGGCACATCATTTGCTGTCATTAAACATCTTTGTTTTCTCATGTATATCACAACAGTTCTCTGAAATTGTTCGGCAACTAAAAGTTTAAATAGCATGGGAATCATACTTTTATTATAACTTTTATTATACACATATCTGTGATGCAAGAACCCACACGTGGAAAAGGTCTAGTCTTCACTGAATTTCACGTAGTCGAGCAGATGCAACATACGTACAAATTTGTACCTAGAGCAGCGCAGTCTATATGATGGGAGGATTTCAAGTGACGATCGTCATTAGAAATGGCGGCAATTAAAAGCGGCCAAACGTTTCCTTTTTGACGTGGGGTTTTTGCCACAGTTGGAGAAGACCCAAACCAAATAGTTTGAACTCCTCTTAACACAAGTATTAAAATCCTTGAGAGGAATAATTAGTAACACATACGTACAGTTAATGTTCATGATGAATCCCGGAATTGGTACATTTTGTACTTTTTTAAATCAGAGATCGGCCTTCGATAACGAAGGAGGTTTCTATGATTTGCTACACTGGTGTGGAAGTCCGTTTACTGTAGCCGGGCGTCCACGTATAACGTCATGTCACGTCGACGTCGCGTCGCACACAACAGTTTGGCGCCATCCCCGTTTTCTTACGTCATGCGCGGCTGGTTTGGGGAAGCTGTGTGGCACTGCCGTTGATGTTCAAATTCACGACGTCAGCACAGTGGGAAGCGTTGGTCGCCCCTGATGCTGCTTTGGACTTGCAGCATCTCCTGAGCACTTTCCCATAGTCGTAGAGCTCGTCCATCAGGTATTCGAATATCTCCACCAGTGACAGAAAACTGGCGCCTAGGAAGAGTCCCATCTGTCCTCCCAGGTCACCTGGATATGAAGAGGAAATTGTCTCTGAACATGAAACTTAATACATGGGTAATACCACACTGATTTAATTCTATGGATGGCATCCGCACGTGTATTGATTTTTGCATGTTCTCAAAAAATGGCCTGGGTGCCACCCCCCGTAGTCCAAGGTACATGTAGCTAGCGACACTAAAAGGAGCCGGCAATGACTACGGAGGACGGCACCCGTGACTTCATTAGCAATGAATTAGATACAGCATGGTAGTTTGTTGCGTCCTCCGTCAGGGCTGGATGGAAACGATAGATTCACTCCTTTGCAAAAATATTACCTTGTTCGGTCAACAATTCGGGTAAGTTGAACATCTTTCGTGTTGTCAATGGCAATTTCCATTAATCTTCTACCAATTTATTATCTCCTATGGCGATAGTGTCAAAACAAAACATGCCAATCCAAATTACTCTGTCACTAAAGAATATAATTTACCTAGAAGTCCCTCCGTTTCGATTGCCGGCATCTGCTGAATCAGTTCGTAGTTCAGGGATTCGTAGTATACGTTTAGCACCAAAATGTTGTCGCTGAAAAAAAACAATAACAAAGATCTCGGCTTTAATCTTTTTTTTACACTCAGACTTATGTAAGAGCTACAAATACACAGAACTTTTACAATATAATGTTAGGTATTTAGTCATTTATTTTTGTATTAATTTGTATTTTATTTACTTATTTATTGTGTTCTCTTGACCCCCCCCCTCTGGGAAGAGCGGCTAAGGCCGACAGGGCATTTCCAGTATAAATAAAGGCTATTGATTGATTGATTGAATATACCACAATATAACTTGATTAAACCAGCTATTATAATGGTAAACTGGTTGAACTAAAACGGCTTCATTGGTGTATTCACAATTAGACCATATCATTGACCATACCAGAAAATTTCCTTTTTGCATCGTCTTAATGTTACATGATGTAGCTTTAAGAAGAGCGATGCGCGCTAGCAAACCGTCGGCAAAGACGTTGCAAAGCCGTTTTCTTAATTGGACCTGCCATTCCAGCGTTCCTTATCATGAACGGCCGAGCAAGGAGCTCAGACTGGGACTCCGTGAAATGGAAGTTTTTCCCGAGTAATTGTCAGGGTGTACAGGTGACCCAAAGGGCAATTTGCGTCGTCCATTCGTAACAATGATGAAGAACGGCATATCAAGACGGGACTGCTTAACAGACAGCGCACGTTCATGTGTACGTACACGGTACACACTCTCCACGCAGAGGTGTAGGCTTTGACTTATTACCTACATGAAAATGTAGGTATGTTTTTTTGTGTTTTGTTTGTGTGTGTGTGTTTCCGCATAATTTTGTTTAGCATAACTTAAAAAGGCCATAATGAGTTGAAATGATGATATTTTGTATGTTGATATGTATTAGGAAGACATGCATCTGTACTCGTCTTAACATCATATAATAATAGGACAGCAATATTTTAAAGAGAAAATCATTTAATGACTTACTCAAAATGTGAAACTTTCGCAAAGAAACTATATCTCTCTGTAGAAGAGATGTTCCTTGACAAATGAGTCACTATCTCTTTTATAACGTTTAAGTTGTGTCCCTCCTATATTGACAAGAAGTAAAACTACACACCCTCTCATGCTAGGCCTGCTGCTTGTATGAATGTACATATCAATCAACGGTCCTGGTGAACCGGCCTATGATCTAACCATCTCGCTGCGTCAGTATTGGCCAGCCGTCAGCCAATCAGATACCTTCTGTTGTTAAATGGAAAGTCACCAACCAATCACGTTGCCTCTTGGCCATGTGATTGGTTGTTGCCTGCAGGCTAACGCTAACGTCAACCAATCAGATGCCTTCTCTTGTTGAATGGAAAGTCACCGACCAATCACGTTGTCTCTTGACCATAGGAGGCAATGTGATTGGTTGGTGACTGCAGGCTAACACTAACGGAGCCAGACTGACAGACCGTAGACCATTACACCAGAACCGTTGCTTGATATATTATACACAAGCAGCGGGACTGGCATGAGAAGATGAAACTGCATAGCCAGCCACGTTTCAGCATATAATCTCACGAGGTGCCCACATTTTGCGAGACAAGCCAAAACGGGACAACAAGTTGGTTAACCATATAACGACAACACAGAAGGCTAACTGTATACTTTGCATCACAAATTCAATATAAACACCAACGTCACTGATATGTTTGTAAATATTTACAAGAAATCGAAAAAAGAGTTAAATCATTGCTGATAGATAAACTTGATGAAAATGACAACCGTCTTGACTTAACTAGTTAATACGATAGTTCTACTTGATCCCTCTGAGTTACGTATTCCATATATCTCTCACTTCTACGAGGTTTGACTTACTATGTTCAATACTTTTTTGCTGAATCTAGAGAAACAACTGTATACTAATTACTCCTAGCAGCAAAGGTGAACATCTGTACACACCCCCTATGGGAATCTACATTGTGCTTTAGGTTTATTTACTTTAGTGTGGGTGGACTACATGAAATGATGTCAGTTTACTGGTGATGTATGTTCCCACGGCAGTTACTAGTGGCCGTTCTCCGACCCAAACGGCCACAAGTACCGACGATTGAAGAAACACAGACTTTGACATACGCTGTGGTTTTGAAGAAAATGCGATGCCCAAGTCGCACACAAACATAGGACAGAAACAATACTATAGACAGAGTTACGAGTATCTATGAGCATGACTCTTACGAATATACTTTCATTCAGGCTTGTAAGTTGTAACTAACTTAGTAAACAGTACACCCTACTTGTCAATGGATACAAAAGCTCATAATCACGACAAGGTCCAATCTTCTTGGTTACTCGAACAGATGCTACACAGAGGAGCGCAACGATTTTGGGAGGGTTTGCAAGAAGATTCAATTGTCCGCCGTCTTGTCTAGCAATGACGGTAGTGATATCCACAATAGGGCATCAACACCTAATGAGCTCAAATACAATATAACGTCCTATTATCATAACTAATGGCTTAGTTTGAAACACATATGAAAGTTTAACAACTTTGTTTCCCTGGAAAGACTGACAAGTGAGGAAGTTCTGATTGCCGGTTGATGATGATGTGCCGCACGCGGCAACCTTGAGGAACCTCGCTGGTTGCAGCAACCTCATCAGAAGGTTGCTGTTGTTCAGCAGAGCGTCGTGTTGACGAGTTTATCATCACAGTTCCGAATCAGCCGTCGCGACCTTTGACTCACAACAACAATCCTAGTCTGTACACAGACAGGCTCCCTCTCTTTGGAAGACCAAACTGGATGTATCTGGTCATGCCCGGCTAGTCTGTGGGAGCTGTGTTGCACTACCGTTGATGTTCACACTCAAAACATCCGCCGAGGGTGACGCGGAGTGGGCAGATGCGGTAGCCTTGCACCGGCAACATTTCTTG